AACTCCTAGCTCAGGATGATTTAAGTGTGCTACAAAATACCATAGGAAAGATATTTGAATTATCTTTCCAACGCCGCTGAGTTTGCACAATTTCAAGTTTGTATGAGGGATATATGCCCATTTGAAATTGGGCTGTCTAGATAAGGAAATTACAAACCAGATTTTAGAAGGGTATTATGGTCTTTTCACCACCCAATTACTTAATTTAGTTTTGGTAATTAAGTTAGGGTCTAAACTAATTGGGTTCAGTTTAGGCTATTGAAATATAAGTTAGGATTTTGAGAGAAGAGAAAAAAAGAGGAGAAAAAGCAAGGAATCGCCAAGTTCTTGAAGTTTTGCTTGAGGATTTCGCCAAGGGTTGATCCCTACGAGGTATGTGATATCACATAGAGTTGGGTTAGTTCACTCACGCGCCAATAATGATTTGATTCAGCGTAATTATGTTCTTGAAAGAAAAGTTTATGAGTTCTTGATGAATATTGTTGAAAGTTTCGTTTGAATCTTGATTGTTGAAGTTTGGAGAAGTTCTTGAGTTAGATCCATGAAATTAGATGTCATTTTGAGTAGATTCTTGCATATTTTGGGTATGTAGTCGAATCTAAGTGTTTGGGGAAAGACCTAATTGAGTTTAGAGGGTTTAGAGTTGAAAAAGGACTAAGAGAATTTGTCAAAAATCTGGGAAATGGGTGGGCCGCCGCGCCACTCAGAGCCCCCCAAAAAGTTCTCTGACGTTTGGCCTCTGGAGCGCCGCGCCAGCCAAAGCGCCCCAAGCAAGACTCTGAAGTTTTGGGTCTAGCACCCCCCGCCACTCAGAGCGCCAGGGACACCAGGTCTTCTACTTTTTCCCACTTCTTTCTGTACTAGTTCCCTTGAAACGTACCTATGTTTCCTAGTTGATTCCTACACTCTAAGGTATGTTTAAACAACATGAAATCATCAATAACACGAGATCATGAACCTTGAATCCATAATTCAATTCAAGGAAAGTTAAGAGTCAAGTCAAGAGAAGTTCATAGAGTTTTCCAAAAGT